TTTTAACCATATTTCGTTTTTTAATTAGGGGAATTCAATACTTAATCCTCTAGAGCTCTCCTCCTACCGTATAAAAAAAAAGATTCCCTCGGGTTTGATCTTTCCTCCCCTCCTTGTCACTTCGTTTTCGACGAGTCGACGCAGAATAGAATCTGTAGAATCTGCGACTTGCGAGAGGAGCGGCTCAAGTCGGGGGGTTACGAACGCGCGTTGACGTCGGACTAATTCCATTATTTACACAAGAGTTCACCGATTGTTGAAAACCCATGGACTAAGAAAAAAATTGGTTTTGCCGGGGAATCTTTTTCTCGGGAGGAGAATTTATTTTTTAGGAGCCAATGTCCGCAGGAGATACGCACGAAAAATTTAATAGAATTCGCTAGACAATTTTATTGGAGTTCTGTTGGAATTTCTATTAGCTTTCGGCCGATTCTATTGAGATATTTTCCGTAGAATTTCCTTGGCTTAAATTTTTCAATTTTTTTCACTCTATTTTTTTGTTCTTTTCATCAAGAAAATCGAACAAAAAACTTGGGAAATTTGAGACAAGGAAAGTCTATAGAAAATATTTCAGAATTGAATAAATAAATAAATCGAATTTTCAAATTTGAGATTGTCTTACGTGAAATAATTTTGAATAATTGTAAATATTAATAATTGTCAGTGAAGTTCACTGAAGATCATAATTGTAATATTTTTTCGACGGACTTGCACGACCTGTGAATGATTGGCCTGGAGAAATACCCTCCTAAAAAATTGATTCCCCTTGTAAGAAAATGATGCCTTGAAAAAAAAATTTTTTTCTCAGTGTCGACTTTGATTTACAAAAGTCTTTGTTCACGTTGCTATTAATTTACCATCCTTAATTTGCTGTATATATTCTTCACGTATCATGAGCTCCCTTGAAAAAAAAACTACTGAAATGGGGGAAAAACTTTGTGCCATGAATTCTGAACCAAAACGGGATGGAAAAATCTGGAAAATGGAATAAAAGATTTGTTCTTTTTATAAGAACCGGATGAAGCGAGTTGAGGTCGATCTGAATAAGTTAAATAATTCAAAGAAAGTCTTAAAAATACGAGGTGGGGGCGCCGCCATGTTTAAAGCCCCTTCCGGCAGAGGGAGGGGGTCTCCAAGCAAGATGGCGGCACCTGTCATCCACCTCGTCTTGTTAAATCTCTTTCAAAAATATCTGCTCTTTTCAAAAAACAAATTTTTCATTTCTGATTTGTTATCGCCTCTTGGCTGAGAATTTCCAGTGCAAAATTTTCCCCCATTTTCGTAGTTTTTTCAACTCCCGAGACCTCCAACTAAAAAATCCAAGAGTCAATCCTTATTTTCTCAAACGAATTTATGAACCTGAATATCCGTGAATAATCGAAACATCCCGCACGTGTATTACTGATAGTTCGAGCCTCCTTATTTGCGTTGACGCTGTACTTTGGCACTCATTAAACATAATTTTCGTTATTGCACTTCGATACAGGAGTAATATCATCTCGTTAATTAATATTCATTAATCCTCACAATTTTTATTTACAAGTAGCATTTACTTATCCTAAAAAACCATGTATTTTCATTAAGTGTTGAATCGTACAAGTGAGAATTCTAGTTGAGGAAAAATATTGTTTTCCACGCCATTGATTGGAGAAATGACTCGGTACGATGAAATCTTGAGAAACTCCCATTCGCGATTGTTTTTTTTTCTCTCTATCGTCTACTTTTAACTCACTATTCCTTTCATTTCCTAAGAAGTAGTTTAGTGTCAATTACGTTTACCCAGATTTACTCTCGAATAAATTCGTTATTAGAGGCTTTTTTCTTCGACAAAATAACGAAAGAGCATTAATTTCACGCTGCGAATATTAATCGCCCGAAAATTTGGAGCGGGGCAATGAATTTGGGAAGGGAAATGATAGGTTTATGTCTACAGTAGAACAGCTATCTGCGGATCAAGACAATATACACATTTAATAACATGGCTTTTTTTAGTCTCCTTTATGAGTGAAATTTCATTGTTTTGTTTTCTTTATAACTTTTCCTTTTTTATCTTTTCAAATTTTCATCTCTCATTATGCTTCATAATAATTGATAATAGTAAATTGTAGGCTGAATAGGTACATACAAAAACAACACACAATAAAAACAATAACATAATATTAACGTGACGCTCACAATAATAATTAATAATCATAATAATAATTCTTAATAACCTTAAAATCTTGTTAAACATTGTCCTTGACATAATAATTATCACTAATTACAGTTGTAGATTTTTTTTTTCATCGTTAAATCTTACTTCATTTAAACTGCTGAAAAGCACTGTATATTTAGCGATGACTGGCTCGCGACTGAATCTAATACCTCATTCATTCACGATCAAATCCATTCACTCTAGTTTCGTCGGAATTCTATGTATTTTATCTAATTTATTCCCTTCATTTTTCCTTTTTTCATACACTGACTTCCTCTTTTTTTTCAAGTTGAAAACACACGTTCACAAAAGAGTTTCACCGAGATGTCGGGAAGTTTTTTTTGTTTCTTCTCTTCACTTCTCTGAAGCACAGCGCACTCTACACTCGTACGTAATCACGCATCAGTCCATGTACAACGAAACTTCGGAGGCGTTTTGAGCTCCGAAAAGCCTCGCACTCCGACTCACAGTCGACGCCTCGATTTATTATTTTTTTGAGTTATCTAACAACTGCTTTGGCAGAATTTAGTCAACATTTTAAATTAATTACATCAATAAAAAAATGTTTTTTTTTTCACTCGGATGATTGACTAATTACGTTTGCATTAAAAACGAGGGTTGAACTTAATTATTTTACATAAAATATGATTCAAAACGTACGAAACAAGAAAGAAACATTTACTAGTCGAGAGATCCATCAAAGCCAACAAAAAACATAATCCTCATTTTAATTTCTTTAAATTGACTTACCTAGTAATTGGCTCGTGAAAAGACGCTCGAAGTTTTGAGTTCCAAAGAATCACGGGTCCATTCTCTTAATTTACTTTAAGTACAGTATTAAATTCAATGACCCGTTACGATGGAATAAGTTTTCAGTTGAAATTTTCAGGAAAAAAAATCCATCATTTTTGCTTGATTTTTGGACATACGCACTTCACATCTCATTTTTTCGATGATTCAGAAATTGAATTATCTTCTTAGTCTAATAACTTTTTACATACATAATGAAGGCTCTAATTATCATCAAACAAATGCCAATAGTTTGTAATAGGCCTGAGTACGCATTTACGGGCGGTAAAATTCGAAAAGATTCATTCTTTGCAATTTTATTCCCTCGAGCACAATTTATCCTAGAAAAATTTAATTTTCCTTCCGTTTTTGTCATTTCCCTCTGTATCATGAAAATCTATGCGCAACTGGATGAGATTCAAGAGCCACTGGACTATCGACAGGAAAGCCTTCGCGCGTTGTTGCATTTTTTTTATTGAATGAATAATCAATATGAATAATACTTTCACTGCAAAAACTCGGTGTTTTAAAGTCTTCTGAATTTAAGACGTCAGACAACAAAAAATATCGGAATGATAAACAAGTGGAAAATAATCTTGACACTTTGAGATTCGTTCCAAATAAATCTCAAGAAACCTTCCCTAGTTGACAATCCAGTCGCGTCAACGCTCATCACAATTACGCCAAGTCTAAAACGTGACGTCAAAACCACTCATAAGAACGACACGAAGAGAAAAGTTGAATAAAAAGTACTAGAAAATCGCGGCAAATTTTACTGCACGCGGAGAGGAAACACTACTTTTGACAAAGAAGGTTCACTCGATACGAGAGTACTCTCTTGTCAATTTAAAAAATGGTGAAATCACCTGATCAATAATTTCGTCCTCAGACTGAGAGAAAAAATTTTCCAACGGGATGAGATTCCCCTGTCCCGAGAGAATTTCTGAGCGTTCTCAAGACTAGAAATGATGTCCTTCCCATGAATTCACGTAGTTTGCGTTACATCTAGAATTTTTTTCATCAGGACTTTGATTACATAAAATCTTGCACAAAGAGCGCAACACTCGAGATCAATTTGAAAGTGTTCGTCGTGCGATTGAAACAAGAATTCCTCAGTTGGAGATGATGAGTGATCAGATCGGGAGGTGTGAATTCTCACAATCCATTAAATTACAGATATAACGCAAACTATATGAATTTACGGGAAGACTTATGCCAACACTTGAAAATTTTCTCGGGACAAGAGAGTCTCATCCTGTTGAAACACTTCTTTCTCTCAGTGTGAGCGCATAATTATTCACCAGTAGATTTCACGATTCTAAAAATTGGCGAGAATCTTCTTGTATCGAGGAAATCATCTTTGCCAAAAGTAATTTTTTCTCTCGATGCGCGAAAGGTAATCGGGGAGCGAAGTTGGAAGTCACTAAAATGGTGCGTTATGTCATCAGGCGATAAAGCTAGGAGTCGGATAATACTTTTATCGCTGTGACGTACAATATTTTATGTTCCTGGGCCCGAAAACTGAGCGAAGCGATGTTAGAATCGACGTTTATCAGGCCTAGCCACAAAAAATACCGTTTTGCGGAGGATATCTTACTTCGTTAGATAAAAAAAAACGCAATATTGAGCAATCGTTAACATTCATGGGATAATTTTTCACGGCATGAATGGTAAATGTAACAAATTCGACACAAATTATCCTCACGTTTAGTAGATTTTCCAAGTCAGTAGAAAAATTTACTATTTCCTGGCATTTCTCTTGAAAATTTAAGTGAAAAAGCTTGAAATTTTTAACAACAACAAAGCTACATCAGTGGAATCACTTAATTTCTTGAATATTCAGGTAATTCTCGATTTCCAGATCCATGTGAAAATGGCAAAAATTCAGGCAAAAACTCTCCTGAATTCTCAATTTATTAATAATTCAGTTGCATTTGATGTTTAATTTTCCTAATGAGTTTGACAATTCAAGCTTTCATTGAAATATCAATGATCGCTTAAGATGAAAACCCGAATTTTCAAGATGAATGATAAATTTTATGAACATTTTCGTTTGAAGTTAAACCCACACCATTGAGAATTCAGCTGAAGCAGTGACTGAAATTTCAAGACATTCCTAACAGTGTGCTGTGTAAAAAAGACCTAGAAATGGATTCCGCTCCACGATTACATGACTCGCTCAGTAATTCTTCTCCAACGTTTTTCTCCGCGCAAAAAAAAGCCACAATGAAACCACTTGCATTCGATAAATTGCAATTTGAGTAGAATTCCAGTTATCCTTTCGAATCCAAGAAATACTAATTTACCATTAATTTAATTATACTCTACTCCGTTCAACTATGTATAATTGGAGTAATACTATCGCGTTACGGGTTGGACGTTTTTGTAGGTAGCACACATGAAAAATCATTAAACACCATTCAACCTCCGAGAAAACCCCTCAAACATCACAATCGCCATTCATCCATCATCACGATAAAACACTGAGTGTAGAGCATTCGATTAAAATTGTCTAAAAACTTATTACCCAACATGTCTCGTTCTCCCCATCATCACGAAGGTGCAACGTTTCCAAACTTGAGAATAATATAAATACATATACATATATCTCCAATATGTACGTGTTATCCATTTTTCGGTTTTTCGTATGTTCTCGTTACAATAATCGTGTAGTCTTACATTAGAAATTTCTCTGGGTGATGTCCGGTGCATCCTCATCAGTGTCGTCACTCGGTGAGTCCGGATGCCAGCATGACGCTACTCAGGCAGCAAGACCATGACTCGTTTGATGCAGCAATGCAGTATGCTGTTGAGCACTCATGTGCGCCAACTGATGGCTAGATTGATGTGAATGATGAGCAGTGCCAATACTGTGTGTAAGTGATGTTGTCAATTGTTGGGATGTACCATGAAGACTGTGACTCGCTGTCGCTGACAATAATCCCTGACCAGTGCTACCACCGTGAATTGGAGTTGATGCATTGTGAGGATGATGGAAGACAACCCCAGAGAAAGCTACGGGTCACTGATGATGCTTGGACGAGCCGTTTGCGTGGTGCGCCTGACCCACTGGTACATGATGACTCGTCGGCCCGTGACCTCCACCGGGATGATGATGACTACCACCAGTTCCATGATGATTAGCATTATTTGCACTACTGTTATTATTGTTATTATTGTTACTCTGTTGTTGTGTTTGACGTTGACTATTTTTCTTATTCTTCATTCTTCTATTTTGAAACCATATCTTGACTTGGCGCTCCGTTAGGTTCAAATTGCGCGCCAATTCCCAGCGCTTTTGCTTGGATACGTAGGCATTGAATAGAAATTCCTTCTCCAGTTCGAGTGTTTGAAATTTTGAGTAGGGTTTACGCTTTTTTCGTACTGTTACTTGACCAGTCCATTCTAAGGGATTACCACCTGTACATCCGACACTCATACTAGCACCACCCAGCCCCATTCCAGGTACTCCAACGCCCAGCGAACCTGCCGGAAACAAGGAAGATGGGGAGGAACCCCACATCACTTGACACAATTAATTTTGCCTCGTAATAAATTAAACAGTATACATTTACATGTGGATGAATCATGGAGAATTAAATGTCAAACGGATGCAAATATGTGGGGAAAAAGAGTCTAATGAACCCCTAATTAATTATTGGTTATAATGATCGTCATTGGCTGCATAATTTGCGGGTAGAAAAAATTAATTATGAAACAGGTTTGCAACATTTATCTGTAATTAATTAGCAACGTAGTTTTCATTAGCATTTTCATCGTTCAGCTCAAGTTGAAATTGTAGTGGAGAGTTTGCACTTTAAACTCCGCTGGTCGTTTGAACATTTTTTTATATTTTTTTCCTCATTTTCAAAGGGAAACAGCGCCAGGTATCTGCCGGACCGCCTCTGGTGGGCTGTCTGTGTGTTCGTATGTGCGTGTATGACGCGCGCAATATAAACGCGGTACGTCAAGAGGGAGTACGGAGAACACCGTTGTCCGGAAAAAGAGCGTTATGATATAATTGGACCGGTCTCTACTAACCATTCCCAGAAGCGCAGGCTGCGGTTCAATTTTCTTGGAATGGTTAGTACACGGGACGAGTTTTGAGGCGGTATGTGAGAGGATATCGAAGGGTGACAACATCCCTCTCTAATTCGGTTGTTTATGGGGTGAATCCACGCGCGCGAGTCGAGGATACATTCATTTTTATTTTTATCAACCGGAAATATCGCACAAAAATTTTTGTTTGGGTTCGCATTATTCGTGTTCATTATGAGAATTAGATTTTGGGCGTTATTTGTTGGATAAAATGATGAAATTTCGAAAATTGGGGGAAAATGGAAGACTGGAAATCTTTTCATTTTTCAGTATTGGTCAGGTTTTAATGAATATCTCGGAATCGGAGGCAGATAGCGAGTTTTTTGGTATAACCTTTTTTGCAGAGCGAATTGAGAGTTACAAAAAAGGTTATTATGAAAATTTCGGTATGTCCCTTGGATTCGAAGATATTCCTCGTTTTATCGCTTCGCTATTGAATTAGTGGATATTTTTCTAAAATCAATCCGTATTTTCTATTTTTTTGGGAATTGCAATTCTAAAAAAATAATAAAATACAATAAAAAACCGTGTGAATTGAAAAAATTCAATTTATTTATCCTACCGTAAGAAAAATTGTCTTGAATTCATCAAAAATTAGTTTCTAGAAAAAATCATATTATAAACTATTATTTCTAAAATTTCAATAATTTTTTCTTTAAAATAAAAAATATGCGCATTTAATATTTAGTCGCATTTAACAAAAAAGTTGAAAAAAAACATCAAATTCATTACACGAACTATTGAAGACCCGATCAAAGACGCGAATTAAATTTATATGACGAATGAATTCGCATATTAGCTTCCGTCTAGTAAACTATCTCATTTTACTGCTCTCACTTGATTCCTGTGCTTCCCCTCTCTACGTTTTCTTGGTCACTGCGCGGGGTCTGACGCGCGTTGGACGATTGCCTAAGCGCCAGGAATTTATTGCCCACTAAAACGTGGAAATATGCAAATTATTTAACAAAGGTCAGGATTCTCACGGGCATTTTCGTTGGTGTATGTTAAATATTATTCAGAACAGATGACAGCCAGGCGATCACGCGGGTATCACCACACATGCACAACAGCCGACGAATCAATTAAGCGGAGAACACGGAAAAAAACCTGAATTGAGTATAAAATACTTAAATCAAGTTTATTTTATACTCCATTGGGGAATGGGTATTTCAATTCGAATGTGATTTTTTGTATCAGGCCGGGCTGTAGCAAGCCCTCTTAAGCGTAATATAAGGGTCAGACACTGAGTGTCAGAATATAAGGGTCAAAAAGTGTAGATTAAAAAATGAGGGTCAGAATATAAAAGTAAAAAAAGTGGGTTTCAGTCAATGAGGATCTAAATATAAGTCATATATTATACTTGATCATCGTTTTTAGCCCTTATATGACCCTCACTGCCTGACACCTACTTTTTTTACTTTTATATTCTGACCCTCATTTTTTAACCTCCACTTTTTGACCCTTACATTCCCACACTCAGTGTCTGACCCTTATATTACACTTGAGAGCGCTTGGTACAACCCGGGCTGATACGAAATAATTATCCTCGAATTGAAACACCCATCCCCCATTCGAGTATAAAATATACTCAATTCAGTTGCATTTCGATTACAGGTGGATTAATTAAGAGCCGCTAATTGATGATTTTTTTCGATAAAATCGAGAGGCTATGGCATATTCGCTGCTAATCGACGCATTTGTCCTGAGTATTAAGACCAGCGTTCACTTAAATTACAAGATTTCACGGTTAAAATGAAAAAACATTCAACGGCAGAGAGATTTTCTCGGGAATAGGAAGACATAATCCCTGGCTATTCACATGCAGCCATTCGCCACTCAGCGTGGCGTCCTCACATGATTATTGCGTTACCACTCATACGCAGAGAGAAAACGAATTACTTATTTTTGTTCTGATACATGAAGATTTAGGGGAAGAATGGATGTGTGAGAGAGGAAAAACTGAGAAGGGGGAATTTCCACAGACGATAGCAATATTTTGTGAAGGGGATTGTGTTGTGTGCGAGGATGGTATTTCTCGAGGGGCATATCGTGCGGTGTTCGGTAACGATGGCTGGTCGTGAATAACGTATTACAACAAAGCAGAACGCCGGAGTGAGGATTACGTGTTCTTCTGATATTCTTTGATGTTTCGTAGCGAGAATCATATGAATTTCAAAAATTTTCATCTCATTTTTAAAGTTTCGCTGTTGCAAAGTGATTTTTTTTATAATTCCGGCGATTTATTGAGTTCGATGTTGAACGATTTTAAAATGAAGTTATGAAATGATTGAAATGAACAAGGGAATGGCCGTTTTTCAATTTGATTTTCTAAAATGAAAAACAAAAAATGTCTTTTGCGAAACACATGAATTTGGAAATTATTTATTCATCTCATTTGAAAAGTTCGGCTGTTGCAAAAAAATTGTATTTCTTGTAATTTCGATTTTGAAATGAAATTGTGAAATTTCTTCTGTTTTCCATTCTTGCGGGAGGTGGAATGACCCGCGCGCCATTCAATTACTTTGTTTGACTCTTTAATTGAATTTAAAAAATAGAAAAATCTCGAAGTATAAAAATTATTCTGAACCTAACAGAGTCGACTCTAAAAACTTATCTACTTCCCTTCTTCACTGAATTTTCGTAACGAGAAAAAAAATCAAATTTGCTCTTGCGGAATCTATGAATTAAAAAATTATTGATGAAAATCTATTGAAATTTAATATAACCTACAATATATTACACTAAAATTTTATTAATATATCAGGTTTATTACATTATTTAGATTATATCATCATTTTATTTTCTTTACTGAATTTTTCATAATCCCGCTGACTTATTGATTCCGATACTGATCGATTTTGAAATTAAATTATAAAACTTCTTCCAGTTTTCAATTTTCCCGGGGGTGAAACAACCCTCACGCATTTCAAAAATGTCATTTAACTCTTCAATTGAATTAAAAAAACGGAAAAAAATCGCTTAAAGTATAAAACTGACCAAAATTGCCTCTAAAAATTCCCCTAATGAAAAAAATATCAAAGTCGCCTATTAAAATGTTCCACCACCGCTCCTCCATTGACTCCCCCAAAACCGTCAGTGATTTGAAAACCTCCGATGAATGAACGAACTGCCAGCACTCCTGTAAATAAACCGGCAGTGTGAGCCAGCCTCCATAAATTCTCGTCCCCCCTATTTTTTCTCCATACGAAAGCGTGCGCCTAGTGGCATGAGCCATACCAGTCAAAAGACAGGATAGACACGCAAAGAGATAATGCAGCTGCCATCTCTGGGTACCCGGTTGAACTAAACTCCCCGTCACTTTACATTTATCTCACGCATGAGAGAACGATAAACGCCTATCGCTACAATTTTTTCCTACACCATCGGGAATGATAAACAAATGCAGAAGAATGACGTTGCAGGCCAACGACACTGGGGAATGTGAGAAAATTTTTTGATGAGAATGACGGGTTTTGACCGTTAACGGAAGAGAACGGAGACGGTACTTTTACGGGGTCATGGAACGGATCAGCTGATCGGGAGGCGCGCGCCCGACAGTAGAGTTTACGAGTTACGGCCGCCAATAAACCTCGACGCCCATTTCGTTGTTGTTTGTCCGTGGAACGTTGTATGGGTCGGTTTGTACGGAGTCCCCAACCCTGCCGGGGCCTCACACAAAAATACTAGATGACTGGGTCAATCAGTGTTGTCGATTTGGCAACTCTGTCACTAAATCTGGTGTTTTTAGATGATCAACTGAACATTTTAAATTCTCACCAGTGACAAATCTCGTGACAACAAATATTTTTTATTCAGTTAAAAAATGACTTCAAAATTATTTTTTTGGTGGGGAATCTGAAGATTGGGAAAATTCACATTCATATTAGTGAGGACGTTACGTGTGAAATGTAAATACATTGTGACATGTAAAATAGTATTCATCATCTTGTATGATCTCGTGAGAATTATTTTAGATAACTTCCCCAAGCAAGTGTACCGTACCTTCATTTAATCGAGTGTTTGAGAATTAATAAAAAAATGTTCATAGTTCCGATTTTTTAAAACCTGGTGTCATTTTCCGCACAGCGCTGGTGCCACCTCATAAACCGGAACACCACAGGAGTCAATGACCCAAGACTTTCCATTTTCCCCTTAAACGATGAAAATGCTAATGCCAGAATTACCCAATTAACCCCTATCACCTGTATCAAGACAATCAATCAAGCGAGTTTTCGCGAGATCGCGCCGACTCGAAACGCCGAGAAATCGAAGTTTACGACTTTGGTTATCGGACCAGTAGCCCCGCGCCCTCTACTTTCAAACGCAGACGGACCGAAAATAATCATCGCCTGAATAATAAAGATATGACGACGACCGGTGTAGGTCCAATGAGATGATAAGGCGATGAAAGTTACGATAGATCATGAAGTTGATGCTTACCTGGAGTTGGATACGGACTCGAAGGTACGGGTTCGGAAGCATAATTCCTGAGCCCGCTGTAGCCGTCATGCGGAAAAGCGGACTCAGCGGCGACCATGGCAGCGACCCTGCCCCGATCGTCCGCAGCCGAGGGTGTGAGATATGGTACCCCAGCCTGTGAGTGCGGATGGTGATGGTGTGGTGGCGCATCGATGGGATGATGCCGGCTCCCCGAGTAGGCATAATTGCACCAGCTCTGCGTGAAATTTTGATGACACGTGGAGACAGCTGGATCCGTCCCGCCAGTGGGAACGGACGAGGCCGATGACGTTGTTGTGCCACCAGCACTCGCTGGATTGTACTTGTACTCCGTCGTGGCGCCACCGCTACCTGAGCCAGGAGCCGAGGCGGCCGTTGCCGGCGACCAGAAGCTCAAGCTACCCCCGGCCTTCCGGTTATCCCTGGTAGAGCCTGTCCCCGAGTCCGCCAGATTGTAGTATGTCGGGGGATTCGTACCCCCGTACGCCTGATGATGATTTAGTGCGTCAGCCGTTGCTGCTGCCGTGTAGTGCGCCTCCTGGGGATTGTGCGGACTGTAACTCCAGCCACCCTGTGAGCCAGCGGATGACGAGTGTGAGTGTCTTATTACCCCTGTCGATGTACCACTACTTGGTTCAACACAGCTCACCTCGCCGTATGTTGTCCCACCAACTGGCGTTGCCGATGGCCTCTTCGCCGGTATGTGAAGTGGTCCTGCTGCACTGTTGCTCGCCACGGACGATGCACTTGGTGATGTTGAGCTTGCACTCGCTGTCTGCGCTGGTGCCGATGCACCCGCCGCCGAACTCGGTGCACCCGGTGAACTCGGTGTTGTCGCTTGCTGATGTGAACCCGGGGTCGAGGTCTGCTGCTGCTGCTGGTGCTGAATGGATACGAGGGAGAGGGTTGGGGGTACTGACGGCGGACTCTCCTCGTAAATAGTACCGCCGTTCATCATGGTCCACCAGTTCACCCCGGTGGAATTCCCCGCGGCGGTGGCTGTACCCATTGGCGTGATTGAGCCAGGGTGGCCCACGCCGGTGCCGCATAGCGGCGCGGCGTGAACATTGTCGTACAGCGTCGCCGTCGAACAAGCCACGTGTTCGGCGATGGTGCAGATGATGGTGATTTAACGTTTGCACAATTTCGAAAAATTTTTGGGTCCCGCGGTTCAATAATTTCGAGGTAATTCTCACCAGCGAGCACCAATTTTTTATCGAGATTTTCGATTTTTTTTCAATTTTTTTGGCGGTAAATATCAAGGACGAGTTGCGGTTGGCGAGGTTTTTCAATAAAATTTGTGACGAGGCGAAGGTTTCGTCATCGCGTCCGCATGTACACAGAGATGAGTGGGAAAGAGACGGAGTCAGAGTGTGTTCGTTGGGTAGGGGATGTCCCCGGGTTGTGCCCGTGAACCGATATGATTGTGTTGGATGTGTTCGTGTGTGGGGTTACACGTTACGTATTATTGTGTGCGTGCGCGCACCCGCGCGCGTAGCGCCACGACAGACAGGTGGGGAGGGGCGGAGAGGCAAAGAGCGGGAAGAGGGGGGGTGGGGGGTGGTGGTGGATTGGTAATGCGGAGGGGGGAGAGAAGTGAGACCAGTTGGAAAGGGAGAGGGTGATGGGGTGGTCGAGGCCGAGGTGCACAACGCGTGGGTAATACCGTAAAACGATGAGATGAGGATGTGACAGCGTTTGTCCACGTGCGACGATTTTTCCACAGAAAACCGTATTTTTTTTTTATTTCGGATGAATTGCAGTCCAGTTGAACGATCCGAGCGATGGTTGTGGGTTGGAGCAGAAAACAGAAAAAAACAGAGAACACTTTAGCATAGAGTTTCAACACTTAAATTAGTTTAATGAGATTTAGCATGGAAAATCCACTTGGCAATCTTAAAGCTCAATTCCCTTCGACATTGATAACAACAGAGTCGTTTGGACAGTTCCCGAACTGAGGCGGGGAAAATGCGGATCAAGTGGAGGACGTTAACCACTCGCAGTAGATTTAACTAGTCACTGACAAGACAGCGCGGCACAGGTCCCACACGCGGGACGTAAGGAGTTGCGCGACACTGCGCCTCCTCATCATCTGACAGCACTGTCCCCAGCAGCATTACCACAGTCACTTTAAATGTAATCCCCTGGTATCACCGCTTGAGTCTTGAAAAACAACACTTGGTCAACCTGACTCCCGAACCCGCGCAAAAACCAACAAAAATAAATACTCCAAATTGCAATGATGACGAAGAAAAACGTTGAAATCCTCAACTGTTAATAGCTGTCAAATCCCATTCACAGAATCTCACTAGCCCCCCTTTTGATTCTCCTTCCCTCTCTGTCTCTCTCTCTCCACCAAAACTTTTATTGCCCTGTCCCGTCAGTCAGGTAAGAATTCACAGTGAGCGGGTCTCGTGGGGTACCCTTGCCCTCCTTTCCCTTTTTTTTTCGCCGCTTTTTTTTTCTCTCCTTTCAACTTCACGCTGACAGCCAACCCGCTTTAAAGTTGACAATGACTATTCGCTGTTGTACGCACACGCGGACTGATTATTTACACACATGGATTATGAACAACCCCCTTTCTTTTCAGCTGGCCGCGCTGTGCCGTACTGAGCGACAACTGAGCTCTGGGTGCCGCGCCGAGTCGACCGAGAGCATAGCCCCTAGCCTGCTGTGAGACAACACGAGCGCAATCTCTCGGTAACACAACCAACTCCTCCACCGCTACCCCCACCCCCCGATGAATTTTTTTCGCTCCCTCCTCGCTCCCCGCGTCGCGCTCCCGCCCCCCGCGCGCGCTCTCCTCTAGCGATCCCTCGTGCTTCAGCGAGGTAGATCTCTCTCTCAAGTTTGAGACGCGCGTGGAAATACGGACAGCGTGCCGGCGCGCTTGCCCCCCCACCACCCCCCGCTCCCGCATCAGCCGGCCAATCAAGCCCTCTCGCTTGCTCTCTCGGTGTCAACGCTAGACGCTTCTCTATCCACTTCACCCCCCGCTTCTTGCCCCTCGGGGGGGGGGGGGTACTTCATCGGTACCCGGGAGAGTGTGTATGTGCGCTCTCGCGTGGATGTGTACTGTGGAGGTACTTCTCCCGCGCTATCTCCGGGGCTCTCTGAAATTCAACGTGAGTTATCTGAGCGACGCGCGTACCCGAAATTAACTGCAGACTGCAGGAGAATTCACGGGTATTTTTAGAATTTTGGGCGCAGGGTTGTTGTGGGGACTATTGGAACTATTTTTTTTGGTTGAGTGGTATGGTTGATGGGAGCACTATTTGAAAATTATGAAATACGCGAAATTTTTAGGTATTTTGTTATTGAAAAATCGGGGGAATTCGGGGGAATTCAGTGGAATGAAAATTGTTGAATGATTTGAAAATTCAAGCAACAATTTCTCGGATTTTTCAATCCATTGTGACTTTTAATTTCAGCAATGAATTTGAAAATTCTAGATGTCGTTGGAATATCAGTGATACATCGAATTCAAATTCAAATTCTTGAATTGAATTCAAATTAACAACTTTCAGAATTCAAGTGCAACTATTGCTTAATGTCCAAATAATTCACGTTTATTTATTTTTTTTCTTTGAAATTGACATTTTTTTGTCAATGTTCCTGGAATCAAATTTTTCCGCATTTCACCGCAGTTTTGAGGGTACTATTGGAACTATTTTTCTATTTTAAAAGTTTGTGGCACTTGCGAACTTGTTTAGAGAGGAAAATATGATTTTTTAAACTCTAATCCTTCCATTTAAAGGAACGACTTTAAATTGGTAGAATTTTGACGATTATTTTGATACAATTGTTTATAAAAATTGGTAAAAATTTCTAGCACGTTGAAAACTACAGAGATTATTCATTTTTATGAAGAAGAATGGAACGAGGTTTTCGCTGTTTTGTTCTTTCATTCGAAAAATTGCATAAAAAGTTACAAGCCACTTTTTCTACGAATGTATTTACCCCAAAGACATTTAAATCTCTTCCAAAAACAATTACCAAACCTTCTCATTTGTCCACAACTAAATCGATTCCACACGACAGAACATCTCTTGAGGAGAACACAAAATTTTTCGGCAGACCGAATTATTTCTCTCACTGTAAAAAATGTACGCAAAAACTGACTTCTAAAACTGAAAAGAATCCTGAAACCAGAAATTTTTTCAGTGCTCCCATGAACAAAGGGCCGCATGGCCTGAGATACGACCTTTCAATTTAAAGCCCGCGATTATGATTTGTGAAAGACCTCGTGGTCCCTCGCACCTCGTGGTCGGTTGAATAGTTCCCAGTGTGTATACACAACGGATACGTCACGGGTGTACTGTGCAGTCTAAATCTCGGTACTTTTATGGGCAGTAAAGTAAAACGGTCTGACAACAACTACGGGGGCAGTCGCGCGCACACGCCTCTGTTTGGATAAACCGCGCGTCATTCATTGTTTATAAATTGATGAGAATTAATCGCGACAGGGTGAAATCGCGGAGTGGATTAATCCATGTTTCGGTGCTTTCGATGGCAATTGCTGGAGCGTCTGGAGACCCTGTCATTTGCGTCTGCCTAGCTGTTCGAACTTATATAACGCGAGGTCATGCAGCTAACACGCACACTTCACGGAGTGGTTGTCTCGTGCGATCATGAATGGATTTTATAGCCATCCCCGGGTGCTCCACCTATACCCCCGGCGTTCAAGGTGTATTCAACACTGTCGAGTTTACTGGCTGTTTGGTTTACTGTGATACAAGTAGCTTAAACTACTTCACGATCTACCAATGTACATCAATATCAGGTTCGCCAGTGGATACTTGTTCTCCGGAAAAACAAATTCACCGACGAAATTCTCCAGTTTTCCTCCGTAGAAAAATATATAAGAAATATATAGGGGACGGTGGGGCAAAATGAAACAGCAAGAAAATCTTGTGATCTAAGGGAGATAGGACGATTTTCATGGAAACCTTTTTTGTAGAGAATTTTACAAGCTACAAAAAAGGTCTTTTTCAAAAATGTCCTATCTCCTTTAGATGACGAGATTTTCCCACTGTTTCATTTTGCCCCATGCTCCCCTATAATATAGGCCAATTCCATATATAAAATATATAATTTTCTGGATATATATTTTTCCGTATGGGTTTACGCGGGGAATTTTGCTCGAAGAGAAAAAAATAAATAAAATAATAGTAAAAAAATGTTAACATTAGAAAATTGAAGTTAAGAAATGGAGGAATTATTTGCGGTCAGCAGTCTATTTCGCTGAGCCTATGCTAGACTTCGAAATGTTTCAAGTTTATCTTAGTCAATGAATAAAAAATCCTTATTTATATATAAAATGTCTAAAATTATAATTAATTATATATTTTATATTATACATTTTTATATTTATATTATATATAAATAGGTATTTTTTATTCATCAGCTAAGATAACTATATTTCAACTATTTTTTAATAGAGGATTTCTCTATAAATATCAAAACATATTTTTTTTAAATAAAGAGGAGTTTATCCCCCTAAATAAAAAATACCGAAATAATTTTTTTTTAATTAAAAAAATGGATGCCGATGTCATATTGGTGTTGAAAATTGCATTGGAAAATAGCTCTCAGGGTTTTTAAAATTTTTTTTCAAATTATTTTTGTTCATGAAATTATATATGGGAGTGGGAGGAGGGGGTTCTCTATAATCCGCGAATATCAACTTTGAGCTTGCCATGTGGATTTCAGATTGCGATTCATTTTTTTATTGTTTATGCCGTCTGAAGTCTATGTTTAAAGAAGGAAACTCACCTTGTATACCAGCCAGTGTCGCTGGTGGATACACTGCCCCGAGCCTGGGAAAATAATGAAATTTCATACTTGTATGAAATCATGTTTTTCGTATTATTAATTTTTTTAGTTGTATATTGAATTAGTTCAGAAGAAAAAAATTATTACTTTAATTCTAAATGAAAATTGGACTCGATTGAAGTTTGTAAATGTCGTCATTGAGAAAGCGAAGTAAAATTTAATTCTAAATTGAGA